CTTCATCATTTTAAAATTAATTTAAAAACAGATAAAATTTTCGAAAATCTTTTTTTTCTTCTTTAAATCATTTTTATAATTAATTATAAAAATGGAAGACAAATGAATGAATGAATGAATGAATGAATGATAAACGTTGATAAGCTTTGATGTTCGAAGTGATATGATTGTGAGATGTGTTATGAATTAGTACCACCTGTTTGTGTCCAATCACCGCCAACTAATTGGATTATCAGCGATTTTGGAGCAATGACGAAAAGGTGTGCGCGTTGTTAGATTATTGTCCTACCAATGTCGTAAACTACCAGAATTTTCTTCCTGTCAAATTTTCACTCTCTCCTCCCATTTTTCTCCATTTCAATAAAAATTATTTTTAACTCTCTTTTTTTGATAGCTTTTTTTTTTTAAATGATATATTATGAATAATAGATAAATCATTGTAAACAGATTTACAAAAATGTGATTAATGTGACATTTAATTAATATGGTGGTCACATCAAATACTTATATTAATACTGCAAAAAAAAAAAAACGAAAGCTTCTAAGTAATATTTCAAGGAATAGTTTAAAAAGATTGCAATAATGCAACAAAAAAGAAAAAAATTTTTTTTTTGATGAAATAAATAGCTAACATATAATTTCATTTTACACATGAAAAGAAGTAAAAAAAAAAAAAAATTTACAAACAAATTTGTGTATTATTGAAATTTCATTTTATATCACTAATAATCATAGGTTTTAAATTATTTGGCAGATGTGTCTTCTACTTTGTTTCTGAAAATAATATCAGAAATTAAAATTGAAATAAAATTTGGACAAATTTTATGGGCCAATTTATTGCCAATCATTGTTCGGCGGGAAAGATGGGAATGATATAGAAAAGAGAAAAAGACCCTCAATCCCTCCAATTTTGAAAATCTGTCGATAGATGACGAATTTCAATTTTCATCAAATTGACAGGACAACATACCCCACAGACTTCTTCTCTTCTATCTGTTAATATCATAGCATGAATTTGAAATTCTTTCTCAAGTGACCCTCAAAAGTTTTCAAATTAATTTCACAGCCTATCAACAGTAATCAGTCAGTCAGTCAGCCATTTGGTATTTTAATAGGCTTTCAACTGATTAAAATCTATTAATTTAGGCGCCAACTTTTTTTTTTTTCTTCTATATTTTCAATTTGATGAAAAGAAAAATGAGAAATGGATGATTTGAAAGATAAATGAAAGTTTAGAAAATGACTGTTCAAAAAAAAAAAGAAAGAAAAATTAGATGAGATAATAGTATAGATTAAAAGAAATTGTGAAAAAAAATGAATAGGAAAATAAATTTAAAAAAAAAATGGAAATGACAGAAATAAATTTTAAATTTTGAATGTTTATAAATTTGATAAATACATTAGAATTAATATAAATTGTTTGATTTTATTGAATTACTAGTTTGGAAGAATTATTTCTGAATTTATTAAGTTGTGGAATTTCTTTTTGGATAATATACTGTCTGATCTGATGTTAGATGATTAGTTTAAGTTATTATTAAGTTATGTATATATTTTACTTTTTAAAGAATCTGGATGAGACATATTTGACCTTGACCTTCCGGATCTTTCCTTTCCTAAAACCTTCCGTTTCTTTCTTTCATTATTTTTGCAAACTGAGAATTAAGGCAAAAAAATAAAGAATCGGTTAATTTTTTTTCTCAGTTTTTCACATTTGCTGAAAAAATTGAACTTTTATCACAAGCTTAATCAGCCTATCAGATTTGATCAAAATAATCAACTTTTGTTTTGCTAAAAATGATGCAAATTTTGATCTAATTAAATAAGCTAAATGGAATTATGAAACAATTCGATGCAAAATTTTTTGTGAATTTTGAAATATAAAAATTACAAACATTTAAATCTGTATTAATTGAAATACTAATTGCATTTATCATTAAAAATTAAAAATAAAGTAGAAATAATAAAAGGGCAATTGAGAATTATTATTAATTTTAATAGGAAATATTTTTCATATCCAAATTTGTTATCATCTTACAAAAAAAAAAGAAAGAAATTTTTTTATTCTTTCTTTTTTTCAAAGTAATTCAAATTTCATTTTAAACTTTATAAGATAATTTATACATTAGCAATAACATTTTGTAATATTTACAATAGAAAATTGTTGAATGAATTGAGCGAAATAATTTTTAAATTTAATTATCAGAAAAAAAAAAGTGAACATTTAATAGTAGCTATAAATTAAATGCACAAAAAATTTTCCAATAATTTTTTCAAAAAAGTTAATATAATTTAATTTATATATATATTCATTTATTTATTTATTTATTTTATTTAATATATTTATATGATTTAATTAATATATATATATTGATAAAGAGATAGAAAAATTAGGAAATAGTATGAAATTTGAGAAAGAATGATAAAGTTAATTTTAAAAAAAGAGAATGATAAGAAAAATAAATGGAATAGAAATAATTTTAAACGGGTCATACAATCGGTGAGCCTTGAAATTTTCGGCATTAATTAATTTTCTTCATTCTATTTTCTTGATGCTTATCTCCGATGACAATTTGTATGAGATGACAATGAGTGCCATATCCTAATAACATATGTTTTCTGCATGTTTCAACAACAGTCAATCAATTTCATTTCATTTGTCAATTTGAAGACGACGAAAAAAGAAAATGAAGAAAAAAAAAAGTTACGAAAATGATTTGGAATTTGTGAAGAAATTTCATGCTAATTTAAAATGATTGATTGTAATGATTATAAGAAATGGAAAGAATTAAAAAGGAAAGAGGAAGAGGGGTGGAGAGAGAGAGAGAGAGAGAAGGAATAGAAAAGGTAAAATTGATGTTTTAATATTTGAGAGTTAGATAACTTTCATTTTTTTTTTCTTTTTGTAATTGTGTAATATCGCGAAGAATTAGAAATGTATGAATAAATAGATAAAATATTCTTATATTTATTATCATTTTTGAATTCCTGAAATGTATGTATCAAACAAATATTGATATCGATTTTTTGCATATCAGTGATAAATTATCACTGATATGCAAAAAATCATCATTGATTGCTTAACGGTTTCAGAAAGATCATTAAGAAAATTCCTATATTAGTATAAAGAATTTTTTACAAAATCTTCCGCTTTCTTTTCTTGCATTTTCCGTGATATTCCCGTTACTCTGAGGTGGAATTTTCCGGATAAAGCTTTTATCGTATACTATTAAGTGAAAATAGTTACGATTCATGGATATAAAAAGAATTCAGACAAATTGTTTTAAAACAAAAAAAAAATCAGGAATGAAAGTTTTAACTTATCATCTGTTAGCTTAGATAGTTTGATATCTAAATAACTTAAATAGTTTATTTAAGCTATCAATCGGTAAACCATAATATTTACCTAAATGATACTTATCTAAAATGAAATCTTATCTCTGAATTATATATAAACAGAATGAATAAACAAGAGAACAGCAGAAAAAAAGTGATTGCAGTTAGTGAAGATAAGTTAATAAGTAAGCGAATAAATAATAGTTGTAATCAAATAATAATTAATTAATCAATCAGTTAATTAATTAATTAATTGCAGAACATAAGACAATGTGCCGTAAGGATGTTGCATGGATGTTCCAACAATGGGATGGTAATAATGATGGGGAATTGAGCATAAAGGAATTAATTCCATTAGAAACAGATTTAAACGAGAAATGTCTAAAAGCATACATTGATCGCTGTGGTTGGTAACTTATCTTTTTACAATCTTACACGTCGTTTTTACGTTACGTGTGTTTACGTCATTCATCAAGTCACAAATATGATCAACTATTTTTTTTTTTTAGTGGAAAAGATATTATTTCTATGATTTTAAAATAGTAGGAAGAAAGTATTTTCTGGAATAGTTTCATCACATTTATTATTTATTTGCAATACATCTTTTTCTCCTGGAATATTTTGAAATATAATAAATACTGATAACAGATACGGAGCCAGGCAATGATAATGTGATAACATTAGACGAATGGTGTGATTGCTTTGCTTGGGCTGATAATGATCGCCATGAACCACCATGTCATGCAGCAAAACATCAACAAGATCCACATTTACTGGGTTGGTATATTTTAATGTAATTATGTCTTCTTATCTTTAAACTATTCTATCACTGAAGAATTGTATAAAGGATTAAAAAGATTCCGGAAAAGCACTGTGGGAATTGACCGAAAATTTTTTTAATCAATAAATTCGAGTTTTCCAGAATGATTTAATCTGAGTTTCTTAAATTTCATTTCATCATTCACTATGATAAAAGAAATGTTTTTTCTACAGTATGCTTCTTTTACTACGTTACTGTAATTTACTGTAATTTTGCACAATGAATGTTCTATCGATTACGGTATCTAGGTACCTTTCATCCACGTTGTACATTAGAAGGATATTATAAGGCAGAGCAATGTAATGAGAATTTCTGTTGGTGTGTTGATAAATACGGTCGAGAATTTGATAACTCACGGGTAATGGGTGGTCTTCCGGATTGCGGACAATATGGTATATATTTTCTTGCTATGGTTTATTTAAAAAAAAGATTGTTAAATTTTTAACAAAATTTTAAATAAATTTTGGTAGTAAATTTTATCAATTTTACAAAATTCAATAATACTTTAATTTTTGATGAATAATAAATTCAGTATAATCATAAATATTTCACGAATTCATGAATAGAAGATTATTTTTAGCAACTGAAATGGATGAGAATGAAAAGAAAGAACTTCTGGCGGAATTATGAAGTGAATTCAATTCATTTTAATGCGCAATGATTGATTTCTTTTTCATTCCTTTATAATAACCTTTTTTGATATATATATTTAACCAATTAGCTTTATATTTTCATACTTTATATACGTAAAATACGTCATTTCTTACGTTATAGAAATTATTCCCTGATTTGAAATTCTTAAAAAAAATTAGCGATATTTTTTAATTATTATTTGTTTTACATGTTATACACCAAAGAGGATAATTTTTTGAAGCATATCAAAATGTTCCTGAACAATTGCATCTCGACATGCTGAAATTAATCGACTAGCTGGTGCACCCACTGAAATATGAAAAATTGAAATATATCGAAATATGTACTTCAAATAATTAGCTTATCAATTTACATAATAAATAAGAACATGCAATAGAAAGAATTGTAGAATTTCAATTGTTATAATTTTTAATGTTTCTATAGATTACAATAATTTCGCTGTTATTTCAATTTAACAATGCTAATAGTTTAATTAGTATAATTAATTAAAAAAGAAAAACCTCGAAGTCGAGAGCCTTGTTCAATAATTTTGTTAAGATTTCGAAGAAGTTTAAGCAATTCTTCATGATTATTACAACGTATTTTATGTTCTGCTACCATTGCCTGATTTAACGTATGCATCTTCTGATAATATTTACTCATTAAACGGCTAAAAAAAAAAAAAAGAAAAAAAAAATTTACGTAAGTTTTTGCAAAACATTGAAATTAATTATAATTAATATTGCTATCGTTTTAGCATTCTAAATATATTGATTGATCAAAAAAAAAAAAAACTGAAAACTGAAAACTAAAAGATAAAAGTGAATCGATTGAAAGATCTGAGCAATGATCAATAATCATCCTAGCATTTCGGGAAAAAGACAAACAATTTACAATTGATTGATAGTTCGGGCATCTTCGGCTCGTACTAACATTTCTTTGATCGAATTCGATCGTTCGGCTATCGTTGCAGATAATCGATTACGCATAATGTACATTTCATGTAGCTGTAGGACAAAGAAAAGAACAAAATCGAAATCATTTTATATGAAAACATTTAGTTGGTGTTAATTCTTGAATGGTAGATATTTTATGATACCAAATGTTTGGTACTGATAATACAAATGGTACCAATCGTTTGACATTGAAACACAAATGGTACCAATCGTTTGACATTGAAACACAAATGGTACCAATCGTTTGACATTGAAACACAAATGGTACCAATCGTTTAACACTGACAACACAAGTGGTACCAGTCGTTTGACATTGAAACACAAATGGTACCAATCGTTTGACATTGAAACACAAATGGTACCAATCGTTTAACACTGACAACACAAGTGGTACCAGTCGTTTAACACTGACAACACAAGTGGTACCAGTCGTTTGACATTGAAACACAAATGGTACCAATCGTTTGACATTGAAACACAAATGGTACCAATCGTTTAACACTGACAACACAAGTGGTACCAGTCGTTTGACATTGAAACACAAATGGTACCAATCGTTTGACATTGAAACACAAATGGTACCAATCGTTTAACACTGATAACACAAGTGGTACCAATCGTTTGACATTGAAACACAAATGGTACCAATCAACACAAGTGGTACCAAATGTTTGGTACTGATAATACGAGTGGTATTAATAATGCATTTACTAAATTTGATAGCATTGAGTTTAAAAAATTCAATTTTCTCAGTTAAAATTCACATTTTATCGAAATACAAGTCGAATGAGTGAAAAAAAAAAATTTTTTTTTTTTTTTTCAATATCATTTAAATACCTTTTCTGTAATATCATTGAGTTTGGCAGCTTCACGAGGAAATTCTACCGTTGTTTGTATTTCAGTGATTCCAAAACTTTCAGCAATTGACTGAATGATATTACCAACTAATTCGATGTCGTTATTTTGAATAATTACCTATAAATAAGTTTTTGTAAAATATTTAAATTTTCTCCTTCTTTTTCATTTTTTTGTTTGATATGAAATTTTCGCTTGCAAAATCAAAGTCTAAAAAAAAAAAAAAAGTGAATTACAAATCTAAAGTCTAATTTTTGGAGTGTGTTATTTGCTCTATGATAATTATAAATATCAATTCAATTTCTTTCCTTTTATTGCAAAATTGAAAAAATTGAAATAATTGATTGATAGTTTTTAGATGCTTAGCATTTTCTATTGTTTCTTCCAACTTTCAATTTTTTTTTCCAATATATAAAAATAAAAAATTAATTTACCTGGTAATAATTTTGAAGTAAATATTAATTAAGTAAATACATATTTACTTATACTTCTCATTGAATACATTTTAACTTTTTATCTTTGTATGTGTAAAAAGTTTATAAGATGGAACTGCTTATTAGCTCAGTGACATTTTTAACAAGCTTGAAAGTAAATTTAATATACTCATGCTATCCATTCACTATTTGTTTAATAGCCGGAAGATTACTGATTTAGATGATTCAATGGTCCCAGCAAGATTTGCATAGAAAATTGAATGAAAACCGGAATTCTTGTCAGAATATCAGAATTCTTCTGCTATTTAGTGCTTTTCTGACTTGCCAAGCTTTGAAAAAAAATCACTTTTTTTGAGAAAAATTTTTTCCGGAATTTTTTTTGACAGAATTTCCAAGACGCTTCAGTAAAAAAAAAAAAAAAAAATGATTTAATATAACCTTTCCGTTTCCATCCATTTCAATAATCAATGATTCGCTGGTTCGTAAACTGATAAAATTAACAGTTAGGTTGAAATCATCTTCACAGACAATTTCATTAGTTAGTAAAAAATTGCTATTAACCCAAATTGCTAACTGAAATAAATCTTATTTTAGGAAAAAATTTTTTGAACATTTTTTTCAATTTCAATATTAATTTAAGCTAATTTAAAAAATTTTATTGGTGAAATGACTTTTATTAATATGATGAAAGTAAATTACACGTGGTGGTCGCTCGTTAATATGAAATATTGCTTTTCCTTCCGGTTGTACTATATTTTCCGTATCTAATGCATACATCATAAAACGTGGAATATTACGTGTTACTTCAAAGACGTGTAGCTGAGTGCTAAAATAGTATTTATAATGTTTTGTTTTTTATGCTAGCCTTTTTTACATTTTTCATTTTTTTTTTTTTTTTTTGAAATGATCACTAGTAAAATTAAAGTAATTTTTAATGGAATACTGTAAGATTTGTGTTTTTTTTTTTTTCGGAATTTTTTTTTGCTACAAATTAAATAATAAAAGTATTAAGTAATATATATGTATTCGAGAGAAATATCAATAAACCTTTTAGCATATCCTACGAGTGCTTTAATATGAAGATTAACAGCTATATCTTTGGTAGGTCGAAGTTGAATTGCAATACAGGAAGAATAATTTTCGGTTGGATGTCTGAAAATTTATTTTTTTTTTTAAATGTTGAATTTTCGTTTTTTTCTTTCTAGAAAAAACAAAAATAGTTAGTGAAAAAAAAAATAATAGTAATAAGAATAAGTTTAATTGATGAAAAGAAATTGTTGTATAATCGAAAGTTTTCCCAAATTAAATAATTTCAAATAAGAAATGCAAAAAGAAAAAGCAAACATACATAATGTATGATTCACCATCGAAAATACCTTCGGCGAATAAAATAACCGCTCGGATGATAGCATCACTGGAAACAATCAATTGTAATTCAACGGATGGTACCTTTGATTGATTATTGATTGTTAAAGAGGTTTCCAAAATGGTGTCAGCCTGAAATAATCAGAAAAATTGCAAGTTTAATATAAGTTTATATACAAGTTTAATATAAATATAAGTTTCAAGTTTATATAATATAATAATCAAAAATTTAAAGTTTATATTGTGAATTAAATTGTGCGTTGATCTAATTGTTCAACAAATTAATAGAATTATTAAAAATTAAAATTTAATAGTTGACAAAACATATTCAATGAATTATTTTTTATTATTTTATGTATGTTTTCTTCGTTGAAACCGGAATTGATTTAACTAGCGAATAGTAAGGATACGTACTGCAAGATGATATAAACGTAAACATGTAAATAACTTTTTTAGAAATTAAAGTTAATAAAACTAAATACGCTTAAAACGTGAAACATACCGGAATGATTTGTTTATTTCCCTCATTCTCATTTGATAATGCATTATTTCTACATTGTTCATAGTTTTGTAATTCTGTCTGAAATCGAACAGATATATTATTTAGTAATAATTAATGCTTTAAATTAATAATTTATTCGTCGAAAAGCAATTTAGATTTATAGGTTTTACTTTTGAAATGAGAAAAACATTAATTTTTTGTTTTCTTTTCTTAAAATTTAATATTTACTTGTAAAAATTGACACTTAAATTCTAAACAAAAAAAAAAAAAAAAAAGGAAAGGAAGAAACACTTACCTTGAATATAGGGCTAAAATTTATTTATACTTTAGCTTTCACGTAATTGCAAATAAAACTAACATATAATATACATAATCAACGTTAACAATTTTAACATATTTCATTTATTTAAGTCAGAAAATGACAGATTTTTTGCGTCACTTTGGGATTTTAAAAAAAGTGAAATTTAGAGAAAAAAAACTATTGAAAAATTTGGAATATTTGTTTTAAAAAATATATACTTACCAATAAATCATATTTTTTTAGATTAAGTTCATGCAATAAATTTTGCTCATCATTAATTCTATTTTGTTTCTTATCAATTATAAAACCATGAACTGAAAAAGGTGAAAGTTCAATATGAAGAAATTATATTAATATTAAATTAATGAGTGAGAAGTTTTCTTTTTTCTTTTATTTATGAATGATCGTCTAAATGATTCATTTACACAACAATTAAACAAACCATTTCCATCGGTAGAAACAACAATTAATTGATCACCGGTAATAAAGGTAGTAGCAATTTGATTATTGATTGATTCTTTTAATTTTACTTCACCTGTTACTGGATCTCTCATATCAATCTGCAATATTACGTTATATGCTTTAAGCGTACGATAAGTTTTAATTTTTTTTTTTACTTATTTTAAAATACTCTAAATAAAAATTTTCACGTAATTAACTGCTGTAGAATTTAATTTTAGCAATATTTTTGGTTAATTAAAATGATTAGCTTACCTTACCATGGATCCATGTACATACCAAAGCTTTAGGATCCGGAAATTGTATTAATGCTACAGCCTGACTTTTACTTTTTATCCTCCATAACCGTGTATTTCCACTATATGCACCTAATGTACCATTCATTAGAGCATATGCAAAAATACCATCACCCAAATCACATAATCCGGTTATGGCATCCGTTTCTGTCATTTCATAAAGTAACAAATCATTCTTGAAAATACGAATATCAAAACTTTCTGATCCAACAATAAGCTGAAAAAAAAATGTAGAATTTCAAAAAAGTATTTCAAATCATTTTCTTCTTATTTCACGGGTAATTTTCATATCTTGGTTTTCCATTTTTTTTTTTTTTTTTTTAAATCCATTTATTTTATCTTTGTACGTCATTCCGGTCGCCTTGCATAGCGACACATTGTAATCGAAATCAAGAATGATGCATTTTGCACCATTTAAACTGGAAATAAAATGAATTCCCGAAGTTCCAATTTCAGATAGAACATGCTGAATTAGCACTCAGTATTCCAGTTTCAGTAAAATTTTATATTATCAAAATAAGTGAAAGATTATGAAAATAAAAGAATTTCATATTATTAAAATTTTTGCAAATTTTAAAATTTGATTAAATTTTTTGAACTCAGTGAAATTTATGTTCAAATTATTTGAACATGCGTATATCTTTAGCAATATTTCAAAAAAAAAAAAAAAAAACAAAATGTGTCGTTGAAAAATTCCGGGACACAATTTGTTTTTACTTTTTTACCTGAATAAAGTTTAATTAATGAAGGTAAAAAGATCAGAAATTTATCAACAAAATTCACACCTCATTCAAACCATCATTATCGATATCTGATAAGCAAAGTGATAAGACATTATCACCGGTAACAGTCCAGAAGGCATCTTTTCCCTCGATATCTAAACCCCAGACAGCACAATTGCCACCACAAAAGATAAGCTTATCATAGGTGTTAAATTTTCCCACCTGAAATTTGATTTTATGAAGTTAATAAAAATGAAGAATTTGTATATAAAAGTAATAATTTTAAAGCGAGTAAATTAGATAAATCAGTCAAAATTGAAAACTAATATTTCAAATTATTTAATCAAATAAATTTACATATTTTATGTGACGAATCATTTTATATATATATATGTTATTACAAAACTTTTTCATGTATATCTTTTCAGGTAAACATATCAAAAATTACACCTGTATACAATTGACACCATCAATAATTTCACGTTGAATTAATGTTGTATTATTGTAAGCATCATAAATTAATAAACCACTTATTGTACCAACAATAATTGCATCATATGTCTTATCCAATGTGGTTACTTCCAATGCACGAATTTTTTCATTTATATTAAGAATTGTTTCATTATCATGAATTATAACCTGAAATTTAGCAAATATTTCAAAAATTCAAAATTTTTAATTAAAAATTTTCTTGCTTACAATAAAATGAAATATTACTTATTTTTGAAATATCATTCTTAAATGAAAGATTTAATATATATATATATATATGCATATAAAAGAAAAGTTTTATTAAAATTACATTCTACAATTAGTTGAAACTATTATTTGTTTAATAAAAAAAAAAAAATAATAATGAGTGACTGTAATTTGCATACAAACCTTATTTGTTGTTGTTGCAACAATAAGTTGTAATTGTCCTGTCTCATCAATTATACCAAATCGTGCACAACCAGGTACAATATGATGAGATATTCTATAGGTAAACTCTGATCGAAGGCCTAACATCAAAATAGCACTGTTATTAGATGGAAATTAAGCAAAAGCAAATGGTAACGTTGCCAAGGGTAACCAATGGACACATTAGACACAACAATGCAATGCAATTGTGTAATTTAAAATATTTCTTAATAAAAATATATAAAAGTTAAATTTACACCTTACAAAATATCAAAATGATCGTTGAATTGTCAAATTTTAAATTAATGAATGAATTGAATGTTTATTTAAATTTAAAATCTTTTTTAGATAAATTTGACCTTAAGTGCATTTTTTTTTTTTTTTTTTTAACACTGAGCGATTTCATTTCAAACAGTAATGTCAGAAGTTTAAAATTAAAAATTTTCACTGTAATCTAATTTTTTGTCTAATTTTTAACTTACATTTACAATTCATAATTTTTGATAATGATTAAACTAAAATAAAAGTGCAGCATGAATTTGCAATCGATCATTTTAGTAATTTTACATCTGTGTGAAAGGTTGTTGGATTCAAATCCTTTCTATTGTTGTACTGATGGTTGGTAGATTGATTTTAGCAGATAGAATTTAAATGAAATAAAATTTTTTATTATATAAATGAGATATATTTTTGAAAGTAAATCTACTTTAAAAACTTTTTTTTTAGAAATGTATAAAATTTTCAAATTTCAATATCTTTTCAAATTTCAATTTTTTTTTCAAATTTCAATATATTTTTTTTCGTTTTGAATTTAATGAAAGTTAAGCTATAATGAAATATATTGAAGTTATATGGGAAAAACGATGCATAAAAAAAATGGCGATAGAATCAGAGACTGATAATTCTGAAACTGTCGCATCAAATGTGACAATTTTGAAATGTTTGCAAGAAAAAGGAATTTATTATAAGCAAGTTATAGGTTTGCGCATATGAAAATAATTTTCAAAAAACATTTATAAAAATTCTGTAACACTTAAAAACAATTTTTATTTTCTTTTTTAATTTATATTTTAAATTTAAACTTTAATAGTAAACAATGCAAATAGGAATACAAAATCACTAAAGATTTGATGGAAGTTTTTTTCTATTTTACAATTAGTAATTGTAAATAAATTGTAGAAATATGACAAAATAAAATAAATTTATTATACAAATGAAACAATTAAAAGAATTATATAATTGAGAGTTATTACAGGTGACAAATACTGTATAGCATTTTTCAGGTAAGGGGACATTTTCATCGGTTAGATGTGCATGGCATAGTGAAATGAAAAAAAATGTTGCACTTAAAATTATTGATACAAGGTATGCTACAATTAATTAACCCTTTAATTAATCTTTAATTAAATTAAATTTAATTAGTTAAATACTTCCTTCATTTCCGATTCTTTTTTCATGTGAATATCAAATCAAAATTTCATTATTTTCAGCTCAAATTCTGATTTCATAGTACGTTTTCTACCACGTGAAAAAATTATCGTTCAGCAATTGAACCATGCAAATATTATTAAAAATTTTGAAGTTAGTCATTAATCGAACTTCTATCAAAAAATTAATTTCACAGCAATAATAACAATTTAATATTAATAGCAATTTTCATTGGCACTAAAATGCTAATTGAGATTTATATTTAATTATATTATTTATTATATTACAACAAATAAAGTAGCATGTTCCAGTCCGAAATTATTCATTCTTAATTTATATCAGCAAAAATAAATTTAGTAACGAAAACAGACCAAAAAAAAACGAATTAAACTGGAACTAGCGAAGATAAGAATGATAATATTTCTAATAACCAATTAAAGTGATAAAATGATGTGATGATACATTAGACATTGTAAATTATCAAATCAAAAATAAACAAATAAGTAAAAAATAAACGAAAAACAAAGAAGAAAAAAGAAAAATGAACATTTCAAAATGCTTTTATTGTATTTCTTTAATGTCAGATCATAAATGATAAAAGATTTCTTTATCAGATCATAAATGAGGAACCGTATGTATGCTTTGTTCAAGAATATGCTATGCACGGTGATCTCTTACAAAAAATCAAGAAAAATAATTGGATCGATGAGGATGAGGGTCGATTTTATTTTCGACAACTTATTGAAGCACTTACGGTATTTTAATATGTAATGAATTATTGTAATTAGATAATCAAACTTTTGTAAGCATGATTTTTGACATTTTTAAATCAGGTATGGTTGAATAAAATTACCTCCTTTTACATAAATTTACTTTTCAACTCAATTACTTAATTAAATTTTCAATTTAATTACTGTGACATTTGAATCTTTCACAATTTGATATTCATGGCAGAACGAGTTATAAGTTAAAAGCTTACATATATACACATATTTTTTTTAATTTTCATTTGATGAATATCCAATATTTTTTCATAACAAATTTTAAATGTTTACAAAAAGAATTGTGTAATAAATTTAATCATTAATCTATTAAATTTTCAATAAGATTTCAATCATATTAAAATAGTTTAGTATTTGAAATCAATCAGTATAGCACATCGTGATATCAAGTGTGAAAATGTATTATTGGACAGTTGTGATAATGTTAAACTTGGCGATTTTGGCTTTGCTCGATTTATGAAAGCTGATGAAGTGTCGCATACATTTTGTGGATCTCGAGCTTATGTTGCACCTGAATTATTGAGGTGATGATAATTATGATAAGCTAGGCTTTTTTTTTATTCAAACTTTTCTGTGATGTTGCATATGAAAGTAAAACTCTGCATGAAATACAATAATTGAAACTTTACTTCCTCCCAATACAGTAATGAAAAGTGTATACTTAGGTCATATCCATATAACGGTTTCCTGGCAGATATTTGGAGTACAGGTATATTGCTATATGTTATGGTTACCGGATTTATGCCATATGATGATCGAAATATCGATAAAATGCTTGAAAAACAATTGCAACACCGGTAGTTTGACTTCAATTATTTATAGTATATGTGATTTGACCTTTGTAAATTAATACTTCTAATATTTAAGTCTTTTCGATTATCTTTCAAGCACTAATTACATAATATATAACAGATATCAATTATTAATAAGTGACCTTACGTAAGTTCTAATGTAATCCGTAGTTGTAGGATTACATTTCCACGTCGTCGTAATTTGAGTGCTGAAGTAAAAGAACTTATCTATGCTATGGTACATCCGGTACCATTAAAACGACGACCATATGACGAAATTATCAAATCGTCATGGCTTGCTGATATAAAGTACGAACTTCGCACAGAACCATTTTCTCAAAACTCTGATAAAATCACATCGTAACACAAATTAAAATCAATCAAATGTTCATTTTGCATTCAAAACGACTGATGTTGAACTTATTGATATAATACAACTTATCCAAAAGAAAAAAACTGTCAAAAATTCACTTTGGAATAATACTTTAATGGCGAAATTGATAAAATTTGTAATTAGTAACAGTTTTAATCAAATTTCAACGTCGAAATTAATTTTAATTGCAAATTTAAGCATGCATATTTACGAAAATTTTGCAGTTTCCATTAATTCCTGTAATTTAAACCAAGAAAATAAATTTTGTTTTAATTAAGTGGAGACAATATAATAGAATTGTAATTCATTAAGAAAATGTGTTTTCTAAATATAATTGACAATTACATTTGCCATGCACATGATCTGCTCATTCCTATCATAGTCACTTGACAACTTAAATAAAAAAATATTCCATATTTGAATAATATTTAAATGGCGAAATTAATAAAAAATGTAATTATTAATATTCTTAATTAATTTTTGATATTCAAAATAATTTTTATTACAAATTTAAGCATTCATCGTTACGAAAATCCGGCAACTTCTACCAGTTGCTGCAATTTAAGTGAGAGAAAAGTCTTTAATTTTGTTAAATTTTGTTTTAATTAAGTGCTAATAAGATTAAAGTTTTTGCAAAAATTAAAATTTTTTTCTCTATTTAAATTATAAAAACTGCTCAAAATGCACGATTTTCATAATGGTCCATTCTTAAATTTACAATTATAATTAATTTCAATGTCAAAAATGTTTCTAATCATAATCATTTTTATTTTGTCATTTAAGTTTAATTCCAAAGCAAAATCTTGGAATTTTTTTTTTTTTTGTTTTGTTTTGGTTGTCAAAGTTTATGCTAGGATGTGAATATATCGTTCTAATGAAAGTACAATGGAAATAAAAATATAAATTAAGTTTGATATGCATATTTATAGATAGATAGATGTATTTGATGAATTTTGATTTTATAATTTTATTGACACTTAGTTAAGACAAAATTTGAAGTTATATCCTTGTTTAGACTACTGGTGCAAATTTTCATAACGATCCATTCTTAAATTTATAATTAAAGTTAATTTCAATGTCGAAAATAACTTGATCACAACTTCCCATTTCAGCTTTGCTCATTTATTTCTTCTCTCAATGTTATTCACCTGAAAATATCTTATCAAGCATTCAACTGCAATTGTTTCACTTTTTTTTTTGATTCAGCCATAATCTTTTCTTGCAAGTTCATTGAAAATAATGTATCTAATCTTGAAAAAAATTGACATTGCAAATTATAAAATTCATATATTGTAATACTAATAAAGCAGAAATATTCTATTTATGAGATTTGAGCTGTTTTGATTATAACGAAATGAAAAATTAATTTACGGTCTTAATTCTGCTTATGTACAAATTTATTTGAATATTATTTCTTTTTTTTTTTTTTTATTCCGCAATGCTAAAATGTAATGAGTGATCAAATACTTTGCTTATTTGTATGTTAGCATCTTATTTCCTCACAATTATTTCCTGGCAATTAAGATTTTTTTAGTTCTTATAAAGGTTATAGTGCATTCATGTAGATACATCATTTCACATGAGGTCTTGTCATTTTTGCATTTTCATAACTTTCTAATAAGATGAGAATGAGTGAAAAAGAAAATAAAATTTACTGTCATTTGTAACTTTGAAGAAGAGTAATTTTGTACTGCTTATATCTTAAATTTGTTCACATTGAGTTAAATCAGACAATGTTATAAATTTACTAATCAATAAAATGGATGAATTTCAGTTTTATTAAATACTTTTCTGACTTTTTCACATTTTTTCAACAACCAATTTCTTTTAAATATAATGGGAAGAATAATGTCTCTGAAATCCAACTTTAGACTAAAGATTACAGCAAGTCGGTGACCTGAAATTTTAGCAACAGCGAGCAGATGATCAGCCATTTCTTACTGTGTGCAGAATCCATTTGCCTTTTATTGCTATAGTTGAATCAATCAGTTAAAAATCCATCGATTTGTTATTGGAATTCAATTGCTTATTTTAATTCCATTAAAATGACAGTATGTAAAAAGTGACTCGCATAGAAGTTCGCACCGAATCAGTGATTTTTTTTAACCTCTGATTTGCAACTTTGGAAAATTTTTATTTTTTATATCACTTTTTTTGTTAAGATTAAGCAAAATTTCCTTAAAATAGCGTCCAACGTAAATTATATAATTGACAAACTTTAATAACATGACAGCATCACTTTAATTCAATTTACATACAGTAAAATGAACTGATCAAGCATCATCTCATAGATCTTGTATAAGCGAAGCGTCTCGCTTGCTTTATTTCACTATAAAAAAAATTTAGGAAATTAAGTAACCATAGATGAAAAATTGAAATATGAAATAAAACTGCAAAAAATGTCACAATTGCTTTGCATAAATTATTTTCAGCAGTGCAATATAGCAGCTGAAATGAAATTATTCAGTGTAAAGGATCAAACACTGATTGCTATTATCATATCATTAGACATAATATTTTATATTCTATTATTATTATCCCCATATTGTTTATTACACGCGGACGTAAGTTATCAATATACATAGTTTGCCACCTCCATCTGAATGAGCATTTATACATGCGATTATTTAACAATACCTAACAGAAGTAATTAGATGGCTTCTGTCAAACTCTCTTCCACAAATTTCTTTCATTTATTTTGTTCTCTTTTCAGAGCTCTGATTAGAATTTTGGGACTCCATGATAATCTAGAAAAGCATTTATTTGGGCAAATTTTTCCTTCGGCATTTGTCAATGAGCAATTGCCTAGTAAATTTGAATGTTTTCAGAATTGGCAACAAATTATTCTCATTGGCAGTTGGCATGCATTTCATCTATTTCTTCTTCTTTTTTTTGCAACTGAACAATATTCAAACAACCGTAAGCTCATTTAAAGTTTAAAAAATAGAGCATAGCGTTGCGATACCATGGAGATTTAAATTTTTACCCGGTATGAGATTGATAATTGCATATCATTTGAGGTAGCGCAAACGGATCAAACAGAACCATTGGATTTATCAATATCAAAAGCGAAAGAGAAAGGCAATGCATTACAAGGCTTATCAATGGAAAGAAAGGGTGAAGAAGAAATTGGACTGCAATTGCTTCAAACAAAACCATTGGATTTAACCGCTTCAAAAGTCAGTGATGAACGAATTCCAATCGAAACAGTCATGAAAGTAATGAAAATATCAAAGCAGGAAAGTAGAACGAAAGAGAAGCAACGCAACGATGTATGTCAAATGGAAGAACATTTGATGACTCATGTCGGTGAAAAGCTGTACAGTTGTCCGACATGCAAAAAGAACTTTACTCAGTTCAGTAATATGAAAAAACATATGATAACTCATACCGGTGAAAAGCCGTACAGTTGTCCAATGTGCAAAAAGAATTTTACTCAGTTCAGTAATATGAAAAAACATATGATGATTCATACCGGTGAGAAGCCGTACAGTTGTCCAACATGCAAAAAGAATTTTACTCAGTTCAGTAATATGAAAAAACATATGATAACTCATACCGGTGAAAAGCCGTACAGTTGTTCAATATGCAAGAAAAGTTTCACTCAGTTCGGGGATATGAAAAAACATTTGCTGATTCATACCGGTGAAAAGCCGTACAATTGTCCAATATGCAGAAAAAATTTCACACAAAAATACCATTTGCAGTCTCACATGCTAACTCATGATATAAACAGACCTGTCTACCATTGTACTGTATGCAGTAAAGATTTTCAGACTAAATACGGATTGAAATTACACATGCGGGATCATTAAAGGTTGCGCTTTACTTTTTATTTTATAAAAAATACGCATTGCTATTTCTGCTACTATTGATTATTTATATTTTTCATCAGTCAATTTTTCTATCACTTCTTTATTTGTTAGATAACTCTTTGTCTCTCGCTGTTATTGCTGTTATAGTTCCGCGTCTTGGTCATATATGTATATTTGTTTTTGTTAGAATAAATAAGTTCCCTAACCGTTCCTACGTAGTACCTTGTATGCTATGCATGAAGAACTTATAAATTAATATTGCTGTTGTTAAATTATTAATGAAATTAAATTGCTTACTCGATTATTGCATAAACAACATGGATACCATAAAGTTAACTACGCAATTTGCAATGAAAACTTCATCCATTCATTTCATTTGTCGATTCGCATTCAGAATTCTGTTTCAGTTACTCTATTTGCGTTCAAAAATCCACTCACTAAAAATATTTGATAATCTAACCCAGTAGTGAATCCATCAGTGAATAACAGCATTAGCTAGTAAAGTTTTTTGAATTAAACCCGACTTGAAACCACATATGCGGAATCGTTAAAGCGTGCGGGTTAAATAGAAATAAGCTCTGATATTTCTATTGTGAAATGACTGAATTATTGGTTGGCAACTAATAAATGCTTCGAATGGATGAAACACTTGAAGAGTTATATAAGGAAACATTGTGCCATAAAGATCAAATATGTCTGTGCAACTATTTCTGCTGGAGCAAAATATTCATAATGTTAATAATTCTCACTTGCATAATCCTACTAATACAAATCGTAAAAACTTTTCTTTATTAAATAATATTGGATTTCATTGAATATAACCACAAAATCCCGACTTGACATAAGTGTTCTGATCTTTCGAGTTAAATTTACTTCAATTTCCATAATTGATCTTTTTTCTTTCATTCTGCATTTATGACTATCATCATTTATTGCGTGACGAAAATTTTTGTGACATAAAAAAGGAATGTAATTAAAGGAGTGATTAGACTTGTTTTAATGAGTAAATAAGGTTTGTGTAGGTTGAATAAAACTTGTGAAATTACTGCTAATATTTATTTCAAATTTGAGCACGAAAAAATAACTTATCGGAACATTTCAGTGAAAAGGATGAAATATCACTATTCATTTTTTCATTATCCTTTAAGTATATAATTAAAAATCCTGTTGTCATTG